ACAAGGTGTGTCACATAGGACACCCAAATTTCAGACAGTCTTTGCTTAAAACACATAACCCTGAGATGATTTTGAAGTTTGTGGGAAGCTAATTTAGTGTCTATATAACCATTAGGCAAATTTTCATGTGCAGACGCTTAAACATGTCTAAGTTATGATGGCTCTAGTTAGGGCACTATCTGAAATAGTGTATTGCACCTCGAAATATGCAGTCGACCGAAACTTTTTGTTGTTACAGAATATTTCAAACATGTTTATAATTAACAAGCTAATACTAATATATATATATTGTAAAAGTAGGCTATATATATTCAAGTGCCGTAAAACTTGTTTAAAAATAACCACAACAACAACAACAGCAAAAAGCAACAAACAAACAATAGCGATCAGTTAGATCTACAAAGCACATAATAATATAAAACAAAACCCTGGTCTTCTGAATAGTCTCAGTTTTATTTCTCGCTCAAAAGAATCAGTAACTGAACTGCATACATATCACACAGACACACACACAGCGCTCTCACTCCTCTCTCTCTCTCTCTCTCTCTCTCTCTCTCTCTCTCTCACACACACACACACATATCAACACGCACATATCTGAATATACGTCAGTTAAGGTTTTAATTTGTTTGGTTGAACACATTTGACCTTAACGATAAAACATTTTCCAAACAGCTAAAACACAGTTAGGCATTTTTAATATAAAAAACTGGAACTGCTTTATATTATTAGTAACAGGGTGTTCTTCTTCGCTTGTCACTAATGTCAGTATCGTCATTATAACTCGGAAAAACCAAAAATAGAACCATCTGAGCTTGGAAAGAATTGGGATAAACAAAATAACACCACTAGAACCGAATAACGACGTAAATTATAATTTGAATGAAGTCATGGATGAAACTCGCCCCCTGTTTCAATACGAAGTAGGCCAGAAAAAAACCCACACAAGTGCATGCAGTGCAGTTGCCGCTAAATGTAGATCAACACCCTTATATGCTTTTGAAGAGATGTTTTTCTTGTGCAGCAGAGACTAGAAGAACTGTTGGAAATAGGACATCGTCCTTGCATGCACATGACATGTACTTTATTACATGTGAAACGGTTGGACGGTTCAGAACATATCTATGTTCATTGTTCCCACCAGGCTCCACCTTGTTTCATTATGTGCTTGCGCGTGGATGAAATGCAGAACAGTTCAGAATTAGTTATTCTGGGCCTTCAGGTTTTCTATCTATAAAAAAATTCAAACTTGAATTATCCGTCTCTCTGTCTGGATTTTTAATACGATACACGCGCTATCGCAAGGATGTGGTGTAGATCTAGTTCAGAACTTGATCGACTGATCCTGGGCCTTCAGGACCTTATGCCATTTAACATTTCAAATTTGAATTATCTCTCTCTCTTTCTCTACGCCCTCCCCCCCCCCTCTCTCTGTTTTTTTTGTCCCTCCCCTCTCTCTCTCTCTCTCTCCCCTCCCTCTCTCTCTCTCTCTCTCTCTCTCTCTCTCTTCCTTTGACCCCCCCCCCTCTCTCTCTCACACACACTCACGCACAACAGATACACGCACACGCGGTGTATGAACATGGTTGGTGACCTAATGGTTAGGCTTTCGGACTTGTAACTGTAAAGTTCAGGGTTCAAATCCCATCGCAGGCCCAACGTTGTGTCCTTGGGAAAGGCACTTTACATTAATGTTCCTCACTTTACCAAGGTGGGAAAGGGTACTTAGTTATTGATAGCGAACGCTCTTTTCAGTTTGTTAGTACTTCAGCATGTATAATCTGCAGTTTGCACTGTATGCTTCCGGAGAAGCCAAGAATTTTCTGAATGTTTGAATTCATTACTTCAGAATTACAATGTTCTATCTGACATTTTTTTTAGCTGATTTGAGTTACTATAATAAGACCATGAGGTCAGAAACCAAATGTTCCATCCGCTTTATCAAAATCATAAGATTATTATATCAATATATTCAGCGAATTGTATTCGAAAAAAACTTCACGTTGTGAAACTCAAAATCTTTGACGTCAAATTTCTCAAAACTAGATCTAGGTACTGAGCAGATAGAGCTTTGTAACTCTCAGGTAGCGAATTGTAAAGCACAAACATGTAGACCCACTGACGGTGATGAAATATTGTATGCTGGGCAGGGTCATTGTTGTAAACTAAATTTCCTCACTGGGATCAATAGAAGATTGTATTTATTTCTTTATTAGATTTCTATGCACTATTCCTAAAAGAATAAACTCAGTATACCTTTTTACCATTAACTAATTTCTTCGATGCTATTTATGGAGCTTCCAAGAGGTACCCAGACTATAGAGAAAAAGGCTAATAAAAAAACTAAGGTTTTGCAAGTTAAAATTGCAAAGTGACAGCCTATCCCACTGGCAAACACATTTTATGTACAGTAAAACCTTGAAAATAAAAACTTCAGGGACCAGAGAATTTCTCATTCTTCAGCAGATTTCATGTCACATGAAAGCGCAGAATAAAGAGGGAGAAAAAGAAACAAGGGGATTTGAAATTTGATTTAATGTCAAACATCTTCCTATTAAATAAAATCAACTGTATAACATATTATACATATTTAGTAAAAAATAACTCATTCTGTGCAACTTCAAACAATCACATGTACCTTGACAAAGAGAAGGTAAAACTTGATACACAATAACTGGCTGTAGAACTATCCCAAGGACATTCCATGCTGACAAGGTCTTAAGCTTAAACCACAGAAATGTGAAACGTGCACATTTGTTGAATCTTTCTCCACCACCCATTTTTTCATAACTCACACAAACATACATAATAATAATATACATAACCAATCATGAAAGCATTATGTATAAAAATAAACATGATGAATATTATGTACAAATGAAGGCATGAGGACAAAATAGTTTATCTTCAATATATCTGAACTCCTGCTTTTTTCCCTTCTAATATTTCCGTACTGCTCTAAATCATTTTGTTATAGAAGCCATAACCAATGATTGTATCATCATCATCATCATTCAGTCCCAGATCTGCGACAGACATCGGCGATCATGGTTCTCCATTCATTCCTTTGCTCAGATGCTCTTAAAAAAGCTACGTTTCCCTGATCTTTCCCTGTTACCCATTTGTTTAGGTTCCCTAAGTAGGTTGCTCTGGACCTACCCCTGCCACGTTTAACTTCAATTTTGCCAGTGAGAGCCAGATGTTCAAGACCCTTATGTCTATTCAGGTGTCCCAAAAACTGCATTTGTCGTTTCCTGATTGAACAGTGAGCGTCCCATGTGGGCTTCATCAAGCACAACCTCATTTGATTTCTTTTCCTTCCACGATACTCTTAGAAATCTCCTAAGAAACCACATTTCTGTTGCTTCTATTTTATTTTCACTGTCTTTAGTGGTTGTCCAGCATTCACAGCCATATATAGAAGGGTTGACCATACATAGCATTTCAGAACTTTCATTTTGGTAGTCATTGAGATGTTTCTATTTTTCAGGATTGGTATCATTTTAATGAAAGTTGCCTTAGCCATTGTAATTCTCAGTTTTATTTCTGTGGAACATTTGGCATCAGATGTTATCATATATCCTAGATGTTTAAACTGTTGGACTGGTTTGATATTTTCACCTTTGCTAATGAGATTATAACTAGGATTTGCTGCTTTTTTATATTATCAAGCATTGTGTTTGTTTTCTTCCAAATTCAATACTAATCCTTTACGTTCACTTTCTGTTACAACAGTATCTAGAAGCAATTAAAGGTCCTTTTGGGAGCCTGCTATTACAACTGTGTCATCCGCATATCTATTAATATTTTCTCCATTTACTTTGAGACCTGGACATTCTTCTATGTTTCTAAGGATTGTTTCACTGTACATGTTAAAGAGGTCTGGTGACATAACACATCCTTGCCTCACTCATCTCCTAATCTGCTTATATTCATCGTATTCTCCATTAATTAGTATAGCAGCATTTTGGTCCCAGTACAAATTCCAGATAATTCTTAGATCTTTTCCATCTATGTCTAACTTTTCCAGTATTTTTAAATAGCTCATCATTTCTAACTTTATCGAATGCCTTTGAATAATCTATGAAGCATAAATACAGATCTTTCTGTGCTTCAATACATCTTTCCATTAACATTGTTAAGGTGAATATAGCATTTCTGGTGCCCTTGTCAGGAACAAAGCCGAATTGCGTTTTAGATATCTCAGGTCTTACACTTTTTCTCAATCTTCCCATTATTACTCGCAGCAATATTTTTGTAAAATGACTCATAAGGCTAATTGTTCTATGCATATCACACTCAGTGGCACCTGGTGTTTTAGGTAAAGCTATAAAAACTGATTTCATCATATCTTCTGGGATCTCACCATTGTTATAAATTATAGCATTTAGGAGTTTTGTTGTTTTTCCAGTGCCTAGTTCTTCAAGCGTGACAATCACTTCAACTGGAACATTATCAAGCCCTGTGGCTTTTCCTTGTTTCATTTCCCTAAGGGCAGCTTGCACTTCTGCTTTTTGATGGTAAACTGTATCAATATTATTTTTTTGTTTGTAAAGGCATATTGATCGTAGATCAGACAATGATTCCTTTGTATGTCCTTAGTGTTATGATCTACTGCACAAAGTAATTCACATTGAAACATGTGTATGTGTTTGTACATTTATGAAGGAAAGAAAATGCATTGAAATGTATTGAGAAGACAACCTGTTTTCTTTCTATCCATAATTTTGTATCTTACAAAAATACATGATCTCCTTCACTGTACACAGCTAAACAATTCTGAACAATAAAAGCAACCCCCCCCCCCTCTCCATCTGTCTGTCTTTCTCCTCTTTTGCCATGTATATCCGTACATTGTCTTTCTGTCTCTCTCTCTGCCTGGCTCTCTGTATCCTTCTCTCTGTCTCTCTGCATCCCTCTTTTTCATTTTCTCTCTCTCTCTCTCACACACACACACACACATGCACACACTCACCTAACACAAAAACATTCACACACACACGCACACACACACGCGCGCGCACACACACACACACACACACACACACACACATACACACACACACGCGCGCGCGGGCGCACACACACACACACACACACACACACACACACTACCTCTCCGCAACATTCCCATCCTGGCTCTCCTGCACCAACTCCTCCGACGGTTCATAACTCATATAATCCTCCACCTCCTCCTCCCCCTCAGACTTCTCCTTCAGCCCCATCCCCCGGAGTCCAGTCCGAAGGTCCAACAACAGCTCCCCTCCCCCCGCCACTCGAGCCTCACCGCTCTGATGATCTCCATGAGGCTTCAGCAGACCGGTGGTGCATGTACTAGAAGAGTCAGCACAGGCGCGAGTCACGCACGCCGGCTCTTGGTCCGAGCTCTCCTGACTCATGCGTGACTCGGGGTCCTCTGCGTCAAAGTATTTCTCCTCGGCGTCGTGGCCGAGGATGTCCAGGGAGTCGTAGTCTGTGTTGGAGTCCACGGCCCTGATGAAGAGACAGAATTACACACGTCATTCTCATTGCCACAATGGCTCACTAGATTGTTCGTTGTTGAAATACACGTCGTTGCCGTATATATGTACGGCTCACTTGTTTGATTGTTTGTCTTCTTTCTTTGTATCCGTAAGAATTTTACGGCACTTGCAACACAATAAGGTCATATAAGTATAAGTGCCGAAGATTAGGTGTGTTACGAGGGAGTGACAAGCACAAAAAAGGGGGGGGGGAATAAGGACAACAGATGTTTGATAGGAAAGAATGTGTAACAAACCACACCAGAGCTCCCTCCAACCACCCACATTGTTTGTTTGTTTGATTGTTTGGGTAAAGAGAAGAAGCCCATCGATATGATGATGGTCATTTTGTGCTAGGAAAAAGTAAGACAGACGGACGTACAAAAACAACAGAGGGAAAGTAAATAAGTTGGACGTATCAGTGGCGCCCTCCAATCACCCGCTTGGTTCACTTGAGAACTGCTATAAAAAAAGAGGGAGAAAATGTTACGGAAAAGCGGTGATGAGGAGCGAGAGGGCGAAAAAGAGAAAAAGGAAGAGAGAGAGAGAGAGAGAGAGAGAGAGAGAGAGAGAGAGAGAGAGAGAGA